CCCTCCCCAAGGCAGGGGCTTCTCCAGGAACCACCAGCACAATGAGTTTGCCCGTGCTCAGCAGCTCGTCCCGACGCACCCAGAAGATCCCAAAGAGACACCCCCTCCGAAAGCCCTAAAAAAGGTCCCCCCAAAAGGAGGGGACAACTGGCCGGCCACGCAGCTGCTGGCCTTCAGTGACAGCAGCCAGCAGCTGAGTCCTGATGGGATGGGGAGGGGGCTCCTGCAGCTCCCCCCCCTTCCCCAGGAAGGCTTCGATGGCACGAGGAGAACGCGGGGCTGGTGGGGGACGGGGCCGTAGAGGGGACAGGTGGCTTCAAACGAAGCGGGCAGGGGCCGAGATGCCAGGGGGGCAGATATGGGAGGGGAGGGGGCAGAAGGGACAACGAGAGGGAGCCATACCCCAGACAGGCACACCCCAGACGTACACACCCCAGAAATACATCTATATATATCAGATATATAGACCCCAGATATGTACACCCCATAAATATCTCTCTCTATATATTTATATATATACACACCCTGGCTGTAAGACTTAAAACCCCAGTTACTGATGGGACTGGTTGCAGCTCACCCATCCATCCCCCTGCCCATGCTTTGATGCAACGATGGAAGGAGGTGGTTGATCCCCCCACAAGCATTGTCCCAGCAAGATGCCTCTCCCCGCATCCCCATGGGTGACACATGTGTCCCCTTGCTCACGGGGGCTCATCCATCCATCCATCCATCCATCCATCCATCCATCCATCCATCCATCCCCCTGCCCATGCTTTGATGCAACGATGGAAGGAGCTGGTTGATCCCCCCACAAGCATCGTCCCAGCGAGATGCTGCTCCCCAGGGCTCTCCCTGCATCTCCGTGCATGTGTGTCCCCTTGCCTGTCCCCTTGCCCATGGGGGCCCATCCATCCATCCATCCATCCATCCCCCTGCCCATACTTTGATGCAACGATGGAAGGAGCTGGTTGATCCCCCCACAAGCATCGTCCCAGCGAGATGCTGCTCCCCAGGGCTCTCCCTGCATCTCCGTGCATGTGTGTCCCCTTGCCTGTCCCCTTGCCCATGGGGGCCCATCCATCCATCCATCCATCCATCCATCCATCCCCTGGCCCATGCTTTGATGCAATGATGGAAGGAGCTGGTTGATCCCCCCACAAACATCATCCCAGTGAGATGCTGCTCCCCAGGGCTCTCCCTGCATCCCCGTGGGTGACATGTGTGTCCCCTTGCCTGTCCCCTTGCCCATGGGGGCCCATCCATCCATCCATCCATCCATCCATCCATCCATCCCCCTGCCCATACTTTGATGCAACGATGGAAGGAGGTGGTTGATCCCCCCACAAGCATCATCCCAGCGAGATGCTGCTCCCCAGGGCTCTCCCTGCATCCCCGTGGGTGACACGTGTGTCCCCTTGCCCATGAGGGCTCACCCATCCATCCATCCATCCATCCATCCATCCATCCATCCATCCATCCATCCCCTGTCCCATGCTTTGATGCAACGATGGAAGGAGCTGGTTGATCCCCCCACAAGCATCATCCCAGTGAGATGCTGCTCCCCAGGGCTCTCCCTGCATCCCCGTGGGTGACACGTGTGTCCCCTTGCCCAACCCCTCTCCCCCGGGGAACCGGCACGTCCCTGAGGACCTCCCGGCGAGGAAGAGGAGGGGAAGACGGCGGGTCCCCGGGGAGGCAGAGCATCTCCCAGCCCAGCCGTCAGGCAGCCCTTGGCGCAGGCACATGGCGGCAATAATGAAGTGCGGTATTTAGGCCATTAAAATTTAACTCCTTAAATTAAAAGGGTTATTTGAGCCTTTCCAAGGCAGCCAAAGGAACGCTGTGGCGGCGGCGGTGGTGGCAGATGGGAGGCAGCAGCTGCCTGCAGCGTGGCGATGGGGACCCCGAGATGCAGTGGGGGTCCCAAGGGACCACTTCATGGGGACAGGACCCTGCCCGCCCCATAGCTGGTTGATCCCCCCACAAGCATCATCCCAGCGAGATGCTGCTCCCCAGGGCTCTCCCTGCATCCCCGTGGGTGACACGTGTGTCCCCTTGCCCATGAGGGCTCACCCATCCATCCATCCATCCATCCATCCATCCCCTGTCCCATGCTTTGATGCAACGATGGAAGGAGCTGGTTGATCCCCCCACAAGCATCATCCCAGTGAGATGCTGCTCCCCAGGGCTCTCCCTGCATCCCCGTGGGTGACACGTG